AAAAAAATCACAGGCTCTGAACATCCATCATGTTCATATGTTCATCATTAAGCATCAGTTTCTCTGTACTGTGCTTAAGTATCCTTGTGGTAAAGAAGCCCCATCACCCTGAGTGGCAAATGCTGCCCTTGGTGATGTCATCAGGACTAGACTATGGCGAAACTCAACCAGCCTCTTTCAGAGATTTTGCATATGCAACTCTTCAACTTAATGTAAACATGTATCAATCTTTGGGCACAAGTGACATGGGGAAAGATCAAGGCTCCATTTTAACAGCCCTAGTATGTCAGCCAACGCAGCTTCATTTCTATCATTTGTGCAGCTTTTACACTGGGTGGGCCAAACAGACATCACTCCAATATTCACAAAAATAATTGTGAAATTCTGATCCTGAAACCTTCTTAGAAAGTTCTATCCAAATGCAATTCCTGTTGCCTTTGCAAAGACAGCACAGAGAATGTTATACTTACCTGATTATAAAATTTCTGATGCCAGCTCAGTGCTGATAGCTCATGCCTGTCATCCTAGCTATTCATGAGGCTGAGAAGCTAAGCCTCCTGGGCAAAAAAAGACAGCAAGAATCTTATCTCCAATTAACCACAAAAAAACACCCCAAATAAATTAGGGCTGGGAAGGTGGCTCAGTGGTAGAGCGCTTGCCTTGCATGCATGAGGCCCTGGGTTCGATTCCTCAGCACCACATAAGCAAAAAGAAAAAAAGGCCGGAAGTGGCTCTGTGGCTCAAGTGGTAGAGCACTAGCTGAGGGGCAGCGCCCAGGCCATAGTTCAGGCCCCACGACCGGACCAAAAAAAAAAAAAAGGTCCTAAAATAAATTTTAAAAAACTTCCTCAGATAGAGCTCTGGCTTGTGGCATAGTGCTGCACCATGTTGGACAAAGAATTTCAAGGATAGTACCCAGGTCCTAAGTTCAAACTCTAGTATAAGCTGAAAAAGAGGGAGAGAAGATACCAGAATCCTCTTAAATCTCTCCTATTAAGATGTTTTTCACTTAAAAAATGTTTTCCATGCTTGGCCAGGATAATCAGAGGGAGGCAAAGTTGGAGCTGATATGTATATTTATATATATATGTACTTATTTATTAATATGTATATTTATACATATGTATATGATATGTATATTTCTGTTATAAAGTTGTGTTTCTAGTAGTTATATTTGTGTTATACTGATTCAGTCATATGCATTCATGCTTCATATTCATCTTTTTGAAAGAAATAAATAGAAAATGTAAAAAAACAAGTAATCATACAGAATGATAAGTCTAAGAATCATAGGATTATTTCAGCTAAGATTCTGGGATAGGTGTCTGTGTCATACATGTTAAAGATGTCAAAGAAGGTGAAAGAGATTGGTCTTGTGTATTAAGAGACACTGACCTCTTTGGGGGAAGCCACTCTTGGGTAAAGTTGGCCTTTTATGAGTTGGAGGTATCTCACACCAATCTTGCCTATTTTTCTGGATGCTTGGATCCACAATTGGATCTGAGAGACAACAAAGAGAACAAAGCAATGATCCACTCCCTAGAGGACAGAAGGCTAATTGAGATATCCAGGAGCAGTTTCCTTCCTTCTTTCTCCTTGCCTCACCTGAGAACTTACTACCAATGATGTAGCTATCTGAGGGGATAGGTTCCTTTGCAGTTTTATTTCACTTTCTTATTTATATATTTATGATGAGAATATCCACACACTGAAACAATGACAACTTCCTCGGGGCTCATTGTTTCACAAGTATCACACTTGTAGGACAGGAGCCACCTCATAGTTTCTCTCCTCCAGCCTAGAGAAACAATTTACTGAGGTCACAGTGACCTGAGCAAAAGAAAGTTGCAGGCTATAGACGTGGTACCCTCCTGGGAGTTAATCACCAAGAAAATAAGGCCTGGCATTTGTCCACAGTGCAAAGTTCACTGTAAAAAAAATGGCCTTTGGATTTTATGCTCCCCTTCAAATAAAATCAGGGTATGAGTTTTATTTCAGGTGTGACATTTTACATTGTTCAACACTTTTAACTGGGAGGGAAAATTGGATAATCATACATTAGTTTGTTAGATACCTTGTGTATGCGTGTGTGAGATCCTGACTACAATGAGGAATTATTCTGTGTTAGCCAATGGTTTACACAGATTTCTCATTTAACCTTCAAATAAGGAATGTTATAAACTGTGAGACATAGCATTTTATAGGTGAGGAAAGAGAGTATAAGGGAAGTTAGTGCATGGTAAGTTGAGATGAGTTCATTCAGTCTGAGCAAAAGAAAGTTCAGGAACTCTGCCCACTTGGCACATAGTAGAAAAAAAAACTACTTGCAGCAGTTCCTGTCAGTAGAGATGTCTATGGGAATGGATTTTCTGGGTGCCCTGGCATGTTTGCATGGAGGTGGTGTCTCCCTGGAAAATAATTCCATGTGTGTGTCTATTCACCTTATATATTTATGTCTATAAATGTTTTTATTTTATGCATTTATATTGGCCTGATACTTATTAGGGATACTATGTTCTTATTTCACATAGCAGCTCATCCTTAAGTGCCTGTTAAGTTCATCCTTTTTTCCTAAGGAAAATGGCTTTGGATCAGAACCAAGACATCTGGGTTCTAGTCCTAGTTTTAATGGTGCTTCACTGGGGAAAATGGACCAAGTCTGTTGACTTCTCTGAACCCCAGTGTTCCCATGTCTGGAATGAATCCAGCATTTGTATTAGTATGCTCATTAGGGGACTACAATTGGACTCACTGGGCATCAGACTTATCCAGCTAGATGGCCTGGCATTGTCAGAAAAGACACATCTATACTATGGCTTTGAATAGGCACACACCTCTTCAATTAGGTGCAAGAGAATTTTGTGGGATTTTAGAGCAACACTGCCATGTCTTTTGTATCTTACTCTATTTTTAGTCATGAAGGAAGATAGTGATAGGTGCCTTTCTGGAAACTAACACTATGAGCATCTGCTAAAGGCACGTGAATGAGTCTGTACCCCAGGACTGTGGTAAGAAACTAGGATGCACCAGGCTCAGTTGCTCATGCAATAACTAGCACATGGTAAATTGAGATGAGTTTATTCAGTCTGAGCAAAAGAAAGTTCAGGAACTCCACACACTTAGCACACAGTAGACAAAAACCTCCTAATAACTCAAGGACAACTTGGGCAAAAAGCGTGTAAGACTCACTTCTCAACCAATAAATGCTGAGCATGGTATGTATTCTTGTTACCCCAGCTACTCAGTATAAATAGGAATCTGGGTCAACTTGGGCATAAACCCCAGTTATTGAAAAGTAACTTTAAAAAGAGGACTTGAACCTGGCTCAAGGGGTAGGACACTTGCTTAGCAAGAGCAAGACCTTAAGTTCAAAACCCTGTACTTCCAAAAAGGGGACAGTCAGAAAGAAACTAAAAGGGCGAGGCCTCTGGCCTAGAAACTATTATTAGCACCCCAGAAGCCTCAGGATCCAGTGATGATGGAATAATAGGGACCTCAGCAAGATGTCCAGAATAACCAGGTCCCAAAGACTGAAAGTGACAAAAGCCATAGAAACAGACACAGCCCGATTTATAGTAATTTCAGTGTCACCCTTAGCAGCAGAGTGGAGGCCAAGCAGACTGCATGGTCTCCAGAGCAGGAGGAGAACAGAAAGCAAGAAGAGGGAGCACTGGGCCAGGCACCTGGAGCTCGGGTCTGGGCCACCAACCACCTACACCTGAGTGTTGAATCGACCTATCCTGAATTCTTCCCTCTTTCCCTCATAGAGACAAAAAAGTACACAGAAGAGCGCTGAGTTTATGCGGAGCTCCGGAGGTTCTAAGCATTCCCCATTTCATTGATTCCTCAGCCAGCAGATTCCTCACTCTGCTTCTGGGAAAACAAAAAACAACACTTTGTAAACTTACTTGATTATAGCAGTAGCACAACTTTATACTACTTCTCATACAGTTCTAAATCCAAAGTGCTCTGAATAAGAGCTTAAAAAGTTTACGGCAAATCAATTTAGTGGCACAGCCTGACCAAAGTGATGGGATGCTGTTTATAGTCTTTCTGTGCCACACTTAGGGGCAGTATTCATATGTATAAAGGCAAAAACATTCAAGTCTGCAGAGGCTTCTGCAGATCTGCTTTGGGTAGTTGCAATTGATGGAAATTGCACATGCTTCAAAATAGGCAAATAAATAAATAAAATCTGCATTCCAGAGTCATCCGGCTCTAGGGAGTTCAGAGAAGAAATTGTCAGCATACAGATTATTTTCCTTAAATTGGAGGATGTTTATTTATCCCTTAAGGAAATGAATGATTCATTGATTGTTCTTCCCTTATGGAGAAAATGTGGGGGAGGGGCAAGCCAAAGCAAACATATGGCGATTCAAGCTTTTTTGGGTCTAGATCTCCAATGCAAGTAGGTATTTTGGAAGACATGAGTCTGAATCTATAGCTTTCCTACAATAAACTAAAAAATGAAAAACAATCTAAAATTTCAACGTAAAAAAAAAAAATATCTATCTATAAATCTCGCATCCTCTTTCCCGCTTTGCCGCTGAGCTGCTTGCTGGTCAAGATGTGCGAGCGACTCGCAGATCCACAGCGCCACCTTTCTTCCAGATGTGGAATTGAATGTTCATTTTGTCTCCCACCGACTGACTTAATGGCTTTAAGCATTTCAGCCAGCTAGGCTCAGCAAAGAAACAGTATCTGGACACTCAAATCATAAAGGAAGAACTGCAAAGAATACAAGAAATGTGTTTTCTTCTTTTTGGCCCCTGAGCAATTAAATTGGTAACCTAATCTTTTGTTAGGAGTATGAGCCATAAACCCTGTGTTTAATTAGTTTGCAGCCTGTGATTCCTTTTTAACACACTAGACGTTTCATTTACAACTTGCTGCTCTGCAGAACTTTTTGCCAGGCATTTTACTATGAAATAAGGTATTCTCCCAGATGATGAAGATTTTAAAACATAGTACTTGAGATTTTTTTCTTTTCAATTTTTCAGTTGCAAATCAAACATGCAGTTACAGAAGCAGAGATTCAAAAATTGAAGAGCAAGGTAAGCCCCAATACATGGTACTTGAATTGTGTTCAGAATTCATCTACTGTGAATGAATCCAGCCCTCTGGCTAATGGGTTTGCTCCTGTGCACATGAGAGAACACAGATGTGACCAGGTCATTTCCACTGTTAGTGCATACATGGATATACCCATAGGGAACAAAACATGTCTGCACTCAGCACGCACATATGTGGTCAGTTTACTCAAGATTTCTTCAAGAAGCACTTTTTGCAGTAGTTCTCTGAAGTATATTAGAGTCACTAATTCTTTAAGTGTCACCTGATACATCTTACCTTCTTTTTGTTTACCTTATTATAAGTAGATTTAATCACATATTCATTTTTAGCTTATTCATCAGAAACATACTATTTAATATACAGCACTATTTCTGATAAAAGATAGTTTCTAAGAATTATAAACTTAACATGATATATTGCATAACTGATTTTAGGTGCCAGGTATTACACTAAGTTTTTAGGCAACTTTAGTTCAGTTTTTTTAGATGGTAGGGAGGAAAAATTTTGATAAAAAGCAGCATATATTTTTAGTCTATATGTGAAATAATACAAGATTCAACAGGACATTTTTGATTGACAGGTTACAAGGCACTTGGATGAGACACAGTCCTAGTAATTGTTTTTAGTTTTGGCAAAAAAAATCATTTCAAAAGTTTAAGAATATCTTTGGAATAACTTTAAATAATATTCTTTATTGTTTCTCTGATCTTTTGAAAATTAAGACATAATTATTCCCACCACTAATTATTTGTTTCCTTAATCACATTGAATGATTGTTTTGATTTTTCCATGTGTTTTAAATTGAGGTGAATTAGCAAGGCTGTTTTGGCTAAATGATATTCTTAGCTAATATACTCCAGAGCTCTTTAGTCAAAACATGTCTATACATCATTCATGGTGTCAGCCCAGCACTGTGAATAGCAATTTTTTAAATTAGTAGTGGTTGGTAAATAAACAACAAAGTATATTTAATAAAATACAAAGTATTATTTAATAAAAGACGCAGGAAAAATGGTCCTATTTTAAATTGAAATAGTTTCTTGACAGAAAAGTAGAAGGTACTTTTTAAATTGTTGTTTATAATTAGAGGAAAAAGATTCTGTGAGCTTAAAGGCTTTAACAAAGCTTAGTGTAAGATTATAAGTGTTTAATTTAGAAAACATGATAAATTACCATTTTTTACTGTTACATTGGTATATGATAGCTACATATTAACTGACGATGTTTACTGTTGATATTAGTAATAGGATTTCTGATTTGGGAGTAGTGTGGGTTACTTTTAAAATTTGTAATCCATTTAACAAATGTATTCAGTTAAAATTTTACACAGAAAGTATACATGTCTTACATATAAATATATATGTACATATGTAAATATATGTTTCCATTCTCTAAATGCTATCTGATTTTGGAATGTCTTAATTTTGAAGAGATAGTTTATAATGACTATATTTTTAACTTTAAAGAAGACCCAAGAAGAAAATAAAGCACTAGTTTGGAGACCAGAGTGGTGGTGCTCATAAGTGACTTTTAGCCCCCACTTCAATGATCCTTGTTAAATGTCCATAAAACTGAGGATGTTGGGCCAGGGTGGCATGTATTTTGAAAGATACTTGGAAACAGAAACTGTAGACAGCCTTTCTGTTACTAATTTGTAGTTTTGCTGATAATTCCCTTTTGTACTCTTACATGAATTGGAGCTCATAAAGATCTAGGAATTTATCACACTGTCTCTGGTATAATCAACTACAGACTATATTCGTATAAATTGAAATAAAAAACATAGTAATACTATCAGAAGATTAAAAAAGCAAAGTAATCATAGCAAACCAGTCACAAATACTAGTCGGAGGAGCTATTCCAAGCTACTGGTCTCCTCTCACAAGTCTGTTGTATGAATGATATCATTGACTATGAGAGCAACTCCATCACTTGCTCAAGTTTTAATGGACAGTAATGGCAGAAGTGGGTTCAAATCTAAGCTGATTGACTTGACAGAACCTTCTTAACCATACACCACATTGGTTCTGCCTCTCTTCGTTGGCCTTCTCCTGCTTCTTTCCTAGTTAATTTTATATAATTTTATATTTACAAAAAAAAAAAAAGAAAATAGCTTGACAGTCAGCAGATGTAACCAAACTCAAAAATGCCCTTTCCTACTTACAGAAATCCAACTAGTATGGCTTAAAGGAGAGCTCGTGGGAATTGGTAACAAATCTGTATTTTATTATTTGGACTTCCATTTTCTCCTCTATGGGATTATGGAAAATAATAACTGCTTTTCTCATCTCAGGTGTTTTATGATTGAGTATACATAGCAATGTGATTTGACCCAAAATATGCAATAACCAAGTCCTCTTGTCTTTCCATTTACTTTCTCCAGCTGCAAGCGGCAGAGAATGAAAAAGTAAGGTGGGAACTTGAAAAAAACCAGCTCCAGCAGAACATAGAAGAGAATAAAGAAAGAATGCTGAAGCTGGAAAGCTACTGGATCGAGGCTCAAACATTATGCCACACAGTGAATGAGCATCTCAAAGAGACTCAAAGCCAGTATCAGGCCTTAGAAAAGAAATACAACAAGGCAAAGAAACTGATCAAGGATTTTCAACAAAAGTAAGCAGCTTCCGTACTAAAGAATAATTTTATGTGTGTCCAATGAAGGTTTTATATTCAAATGCTCCGTCACATTTAGTGGCATGAAAAAGATGATCTCAGGATTTTCTCTTTCAGAACTCATCACTAATTCTGGACTTAGTGATTATATTTTGAAAATTACTTTTATCATTTTTTACATGAGAGTAGGGTTGTATACAAACTTCTAACATTGCATACTAATCCCTAATATTTGCTTCCTAGTGTTTTGATTGATAGTTACTATTCAAACTTTGAATTTCTTTATTTCCTTGCGAACATTTCTGATTGAAGAGCAAGAAGCCCCCATTGAAGCTGTGAATAATGCCTTCATATGGGATATGGGATATGCAAAGGAACACTTGGAACCTAGGTCAGGCTACTTCAATGTGTGTCTACAGGATCAGTAACTGCAGACTTTCCCTCAGTGCATGCACTGTAAATATTGACCCAGCCAACTCCCTAAACACTCCTCTCCCCTTCCTCTGGCCTCTCTGCATTTCTCATTTGTTGGGGGAAAAAAATCACAAATGCTGTTCACTATAGTGTGACGCCATCACCACACTCAGCATTTGCCTTTCAGCAACTCTTTTCTGGGCTACAGCTGCTTTGCTTCTACCACTTACATTTGGGTGTAATGTTACAGGAAATGACCAGGAAGGTTTTTACTAGAGTTTTTTTTTTTTTAGGATTTTTTGTTTCAATTTGTTTTTGGCTAGCTAAAATAAAATATAATCTTCCATACCAAGCCTGAGAAGCTATGCCATTGCATCAGACTCCTCATACCTCTCTTTCCTGTCATGGAAATAATATTTTTAATGTTTAAAAGAGACTGCCATGAAAACCTTGTTGTTAAAAAGAAGGAAATTATTCCCTGGTACTGTGAATTCAGTGTATCACTGTTGTAACTTTTCACCAAAAAACATCATACCCAGTTCTTTTATGTAATAATTTTATAATAACATTTTCCAAATCTTTATATTCTGGTCTCAGCTTTCAGAATGGAGTTATTGCTCCTCCGTCTGTCCCACTTTGCAGTTTTAGGGCTCCAGATAAGAATGTTCACATTAATTACAATCAGATCTTTTATTTCTTTCTTAAGAGAACTTGACTTCCTCAAAAGACAGGAAGTAGAAAGGAAGAAACTAGAAGATCTGGAAAAAGCTCACATTGTGGAAGTTCAAGGCCTCCAAGTGAGGGTGAGTTGTATTTTCGAAGCTACCCGTGAGAGACCATTTGAATACTGGGAGCAGGGTGATGGATGAAGAGTTCATGAATGGATTTTTTTCCCCCCTAGATTAGAGATTTGGAAGCTGAGGTATTCAGACTACTTAAGCAAAATGGGACTCAAGTGAACAATAACAACAACATCTTTGAGAGAAGAACATCTCTGGGGGAAGTCTGTAAAGGAGACAGCATGGAGAATGTGGAGGTTGAGCATACATCTTGTCAGGATGGCCTAAGTCAAGGTTTGTTTAACCCAACCTCAAAAATAACTTAAAGACTGTGATTTGGGCTTGTCTCCTTTTTCTAGCCCACAGGTTCAAAGGTGGAAAATGCCTGCCTATTCTGAGAAATAAGTCTTATCACAGTGGGAGTCTGACTTTACCTTTTATCAAAATTAAATGCCTTCATATAAGCATTTAATAGAATCTCAACCTTGTGGCCATTAAAAATGAAAAGTATTGGAAATGTCTGTATTAAAATGAAACTCATGTCTAGACTTTTGAATCCATTCATTGCCAAAATGCCTTTGGACACCTCGAAAGGACAATTTAGCAACAACACTACTGTAACTGAGGAAATGTGTGACCTCAGGAAGATAACTTAACCTCTCTGGGTTGGCTTTACAATTCTTCCCTTCCCAGGAATGACCTAGTCTATGAGGCTCCCCCAAAAATGATTTTATTTGAATATATGGAATTATATACCTGGGACACTATATGATTAATGCCTTTTCTAAAAAAGGTCAGAAACCAAACTAATGTGGGCTTTTTTAAAAACCTTTTGAGTGTGTTAAAATGGATTGTAGTTTATTAAAAATATGTGTTCTTGCTGTGACACAGAATGCAATCAGTAACCCACAGCTTTCTGTTACTATCCAATTCTTTCCATTTAGAAAGCTATATCTTGTCAAACCTGTAGCTAATGGTATTTATTAAACTATATGACTGCGGAAGATCAGCGAGTTGTTCTATTAACATGCTGATTTGGATCTAAACTTTGTATTTCTTCTGAACGCTTTTTCCATTCTATGCCATCCGTTTTGCCACATAATTTCCAGTTTCCCTAGCAACACTGTTGGTCCCCTGTGAGGTGGGGAGACTACTAATTCTTAGTGAAACCAGTCCCCACTTGTGCAATAGAGGTGGAATTCGTCCTTGCACACTGGTGGCACACAGAGCCGAAGGTGTTCCTCTAGCAGTGTTGCCAAGCAGTCAGTAACAAATCTCCTTGAATTTCAATTGCTTGATCACATAAACTCAAATAGTCTGGTCAGGAGCTAGATAGAATGCTCTGGAAAACACCTTTCCAAATTGATCCTTTGCTTCTGTTGCTAGGGAACGCAGAAGAACCAGAGGCTTAGCAAAGAGAGGGAGGCTGTGGACTTCCTCACACAATCTTTCAGCATTGAAAGACATCCCACCTCCTTTCGTAGTACCGTGGGTCCCAGGCTTGCAGTGTCCTCTGCTTCAGCTCCCACGACTACCCAGTTCTCACCTCCTTTCCAAGATCGCGAGTGTTAAGATGAGGGCTGTAGCAAGCTTGGGGCCTTGAGGTAGCTCAGATAGCAGCAGAAGGACTGTCAGTTACAGGTTAATGAAATACTGGAACAGAAAGAAACGGTGAAAGAAGAGAAGATGAGGAGGCAGGAAGGAGGAAAGAACTTAAGGATCAGTTTCATCATGTGGGTCTCTGTTCTTCTGGAACAGAGCTCCCTGATTAGGGCTGGATAATTATGTGGCTCTCAATATTGAATTTTTTGAAGCCATGTAAAAACTTAACACAGTTACAATAACTCTCAGTTGATGTAAGGGTTTTTCATTTTTATTTTATTTACTTTTTTTTAATGTCAGTCCTGGGGCTTGAACTCAGGGCCTGGGTGCTGCCTCCGAGTTTTTTTGCTCAAAACTAGTGCTCTACCACTTGAGTCACAGCTCACTTCTGGCTTTGTGGTAATTTATTGGAAATAAGAGTCTTACAACTGGGTGCCCGTAGCTCACATTTGTAATCCTAACTACTTAGGACGTTGAGATCTGAGGATCCCAGTTCAATGCCAGCTCAGGCAGGAAAGCTCATGAGACTCTTACCTCCAATAAACCACTAGAAAATTGGGAGTGGTGCTGTGGCTCAGGTGGTAGAGTGCTTGCCTTGAGCTGAAGAGCTGAGGGACAGTGCCCAGGCCCAGAGTTCAAACCCCACGACCGACAAAAAAAACACAAAAGTCTCATGTCACAGACTTTCCTGCCCAAACTGGTTTTGGACTGCAGTCCTCAGATGTCAAGCACCTGAGTAGCTGGTTGACAGGCATGAGCCACTGGTGTCCGGCTTATAATGATTTCTGATGGAAAAAAGAAAGGCCCTATGCTTAAGATGGTGCTTCTTCTTCTTTTTTTTGCAATAGTGCTATTTTCTGTCATAAATTAGCTAGACAACCTTTATGATGGTGCCAATGTCTGTATCTGAATTCTTTTACCTAAGATCAGAGATTAATATCTTTTATTTATTCAATAAATGCAACATAGAAGTAATATATTAAAGAACATATATCGTAATTAATGGAAGCTTTAATCAATTAAAAAAATAACCGCAAACAAAAAGCAGATTCTAGATGGATCTTGTTTTTTGATCCAATCTGCTATTCTTCTTCTTTTGATTGGAGAATTGAGTTCACTAATGTTTAGGTTTATTATAGAGAGATGTGTCATGTTTCCTGCCATTTTCTTGATTTTCTGTATTTTGTTTTATTCCTCTTCCTGTGTTTACTAAATTGATCTCCTAGTGATTTTCATCTGATGTGTTTCTTTGATTCTGATGGATTTCTTCAGATTGTATTCCTTCCTGTAGAATTCTTTGTAATGCTGGTTTTTATAATAGTTTTTAGTAGAATCTCAAATTGATTTTTTTCTTTAGGCATTTCTTTCCTTCTTCTAATTTATGGGACTACCAGATATAAACTTACCAAGCCCAACTACTAGCTAGATGAACTCTACACTACTGTGAAATTTTATAATTATCATTGATCTTAATTCATTTATAACTCTCCAGGGTGTACAAACTATGGAAACCTTTCCTTGTAAGTTAAGAAAGTTTTAATTAATTTCAACTAATAGTAAGTTACCACTTATGGTACAGTGCACTACTTTATATGGATGTCATTTTTATCAACTATTACATTTTTTTTTTTTTTTTTGTCGGTCGTGGGGCTTGAACTCTGGGCCTGGGCGCTGTCCCTCAGCTCTTCAGCTCAAGGCTAGCACTCTACCACTTGAGCTACAGCGCCACTTCTGGTTTTCTGGTGGTTTATTGGAGATAGGAGTCTCACAATCTCTCCTGCCCCGACTGGCTTTGAACCACGATCCTCAGATCTCAGCCTCCTGAGTAGCTAGGATTATAGGCGTGAGCCACCAGCGCCCGGCAAAGGGTTGTTTTTTTTGTTTGTTTGTTTTTTTTTTTTTAACTGTATTTTTTTTGTCTTTTCTTTTTTGGTACTGGGGATCGAACCCAGGATGTTGCACTTGCTAGGCAAACGCTTTGCCACTGAGCTACATCCCAGCCCTCAACTATTACATTTTTTAAAATAGGTTTTTAGAGGTAGATTTAAAGGACATATTTACAGGATAGATGATTTTTTTTAAGATTTCTTCTATTTCAGGATAGATGATTTTTAAAACCTAAATAGTTCTAAGTGAAATAAATAAAAACAAATCTGTATTTATGACATGAAGAGACACTAAAACAGAGTGAAAACACTGACAGTATCAAGAAATTTAAGTATCCAATGAAAGAATTATACTGAAACTGTATTACATTAAAAATGAAGGCCAGAGGACAACAGAACAATATCTTCAAAATACTTAGAGAAAATAACTGTCAATCTATTTATTTAGCAAAAAAATGTCCTTAAAAGCTGGAGGCCTGTAATCCTAGCTACTCAGGAAGTTGAGATCTGAGGATTGCATTTGGAAGTTAGGCAGGGCAGGAAAGTCCGTGAGACTCTTATCTCCAATTAACCACTATAAAGCCAAAAATGGAGCTGTACCCCACATAGTAGAATGTTAGCTTTAAGCTAAAATGCTTAGGTACAAAACCCAGATCCTGAGTTTAAGCCCCAGGACTGGCAAAAAAAAAAAAGTGTCTTTAAAACTAAAATAGAAAGCTGAGACTAGTGGTACCTGACTGTAACTCCAGCACACAGGAGGCAAAGGAAGTTAGGATTGTAAGTTTGAAGACAGCCTGGACTACAAAGAAAGACACTGTCTCAACAAAACAAAAATAAAATTATATAGACAGAAGTACATTTCAGATAAGAAAATCCCAAGAATTTTCTAGGAAGCCCTTAGAAAATGTCTAAAAGATGTACTTCAGAGGGAATAAAAATGATTCAAAGATGATCTCAAGGCTCAAGATAGGTTGTTGAGGAAAACCAGTTACATTGAAAACTGTTAAAATATCCTAAGTTAAACATTAGCAAGCCAAATCCAGAAATGTAATTTAAAAATATAATTTATCATGACCAACTTGTATCTATGCAAGAACATAATGTTGACTTAACATTAGAAAATCTCATAATTCACATATTAGCCAGAAGAAAAATGAACGCAATTATCTCCATGGGTAAAGATAAACATTTAATAAAGTTTAATACTGATTCATAAATAATAAATTCTATCTAACTAAAACTGTGGAGAAACTTCCTTACTTCAATAATGGGAATTTAGCCGAAGTCTCCATCAAACATCATATTACATGAAATCAAGAATTAATTTAAAAATTAAAAATGCTTTTAATATTTCACCACTAAGTGTACTATTGCCTCTTATTCTATACTAACCTAGGGGTCCTGGTAAGAACTACCCGATATGCAAAAGAAATGATTTGAAAGAAAGGCACAAAGTCGCCATTGTTCTCTGATTTCCTGAATATTTTCTGAATAAATGAAAACATTCAAAAGTCATAGAATTTAGTAAAATAAGAATCATTTAAGAATCACTTCTTCCCTTATTTTCTCCCAGTTTTCTCCTCCTTAAAGCCCCCTCCCCCTTCTCCAACAACTTGTTTAGTTCCTTTTCAACAGTGTCTAGTGTCACTGCTGCATTTGTTCACCCTTTGTCCCACCATTTCTGTGTTCTCCTTCCCCTCCACAAACAGATAAACATATACAAGACAAAGCATACAGAAATCAAAAACAGCAACAAAGGAGAAAAAAAGAAAGGTATTCATTATCTGACTTATGTAACTGTGACCC